AATGCGTACTCTAGCATATTCTAAGAATGTCAATTGCGATTGATTGCGATTTAGAATTTCCAGCCGCTACACTGGCTTTTCTTTGCTACAGTGGTTCACAGCTTATATGTTTGTTGATGTATAAAATCTGAACTATCGGGGATATCGAAAAAATTTAAACGCAGGTTGTTAGTGTGGTGTTTAAACTAATACAAAATTAACTAATCTAGTTTAAAAATATTTTGTTTGTATTTAATTATATTTAAAAGCTAAAAAATGAGACCAAAACAGTTCCACAGCTTATTTCAACCACAAACACAGCTGGTTAAATATCATGAAAATGAACCTTTTTGGTTTTAAAGCACGGGGTAGTGCTGTAGGCAGAAGCGCCAGCGATCTTTATTTTAGTTATTTTGACAAACATACTATTTTTGCTTGGGTGCAAGTTCTAATCCAGCGTAAACCTCTTTTTTGTAAGCTGCAAATTTTTGTTATTTTTGCTTCTTTTATATTAAATTTCATAAGCTTATTTATATATGTACAAAATAGATGGCTGACGTATATAAATGTCGCAATTTGGGCACTATAAATGCCGATTGCCACACCCCTAGTGGCCGTAGACTCCTCATTTTTAGCCAGTTCTTGGAACGAGCAACCGGTAACTTAAATGCAAAATTTGAATTCTAACGCTCTAAAAGTGTGAAAATTGCCACGCCCCTAGTAGGCGTAGATATAAAATTTTTTTCACTTATCTTTATAGAATCGGAACATCAGCTCTTGTGTAAATTTCAGCATCATTGACTTACAACTTTAGGAGATACAGTTTTATCCTGTTTGCCACGCTCCCAATGGGCGGAGATATATCCGCCATAGCTCGTGACTTGGGTGGACGCTGACCTACTTATTAAATTTCAGCTATCTAGCTCTTCAACTAATATGATTTCTGGTATATCAGAAAATGAATTTTCCGATTTGGCACGCCCTTAGTGGGCGGATCGGGAAAATTTTAAAACTTTATAATGTGTTCCAAATTACATGTCTCTAGCTTCAATAGCACCGAAATAGACAGCGTTCATAAGGACAGACGGACGGACATTGCACAAAACCAATATACTCTTTCACTTTCGTGAATAAGTATAAAAATATAAAGTTGTTATTGATCGAATCATGTCTTTGGAGAGCCTTAAAACACAGCGCGCGAGTACTCACCGAAATATTAGCTGCATTCGTAATGTTGTCGATCCCAAAGTAAGAGAAAGGAATTTTGCACCAATTTAAACTGAATAGAAATTTTGTAAGCTTACTTTATGCAAGCAATGGTATTGCAGCCTCAAATTGAAAAGGAGTGTCCGACTGATACAGGACGCACCGAATTGGAAGAGCTGTATGTAGAAATAAGGGTAGCACTACCGAAAGGCACTTGATCATTTGAATCACCGCTATGACAAAATTTCGTCGTTGTTTATGCTCAAGAGTGTGTCAAGGTCAAATACTCACGAAATTCGAAGTTTGATTGACAACTCTACAGCATTGTACAACTCGCTAAAATCACTAAGCAACGAGGAACAAATCGTACAAGCAATGTAAATAGCCATGGTCATGAATAAGATGGACAAGTTGCCTACGTGGGATTTGTGTGTACAAGTAGTTGCCAGCTAGACTCGAACTATTTGTCTTAGATCAGAACTTCGACTTTCAAGTTGCAGTCGACCTCAGGAATTGTCGGTTGCAGAGCGTTGTCTTGGCAAGGGCCATCAGGCATGCAAGTGTCCTTCTACTCAAAGATGTCGATTTTGCTCGAGACTTCATAACAGCTTACGACATCGGGCTGTGACTAGACCGACATTTACTACCATTTAAGAGATGGCTTGAGGCATCCAAGTGGACCGACTATTCAGACGGAGCTATATACGATTCTACTACGCTTTCGAACTGACAAATATGCACTCACTGCAGCTGTTATGAAAATGTTCAGGCATAAGATAAGCAGATAATACACTACGGAACTAAACACACAGCACCATATCTCGCCATAGGCAGTATGACATATTTGGCTGATCTACATATGCTAACTCACAAATTGGGATCACAAGCTATAAATTCATCATTCTACGTGGATGACTTTCTGTGTGGGCATGACACAGTAGGAGGCCAGCATCAAGGCAGAGGTCATAGAAGTACTTGGCAAGGGAAAATTTGAATTAGCAAAATGATATTGAAACCATCCGGACTTTGTCGACGACAGCACGATCAAAGATTTGAATCTAGAAGATGGCTCAGTTACAAGCACATTGGGCTTAGCTTGGAATCAACGTCAGGACGTGTTGCTATTTGTCTTTCGACCCAAATGCTCCATTGATGCAATCACTAAGAGGTCAATTTTATCTGTGGCATTTTCACTTTTTGATCCATTGGGATTGCTACCGCCGGTCATTGTGACAGAAAGGGTTATCCTACAGGAGCTGTGAATACTCAAATTGCAATGGGATGAGTCTGTACCTAGCTTGGAAATCGTTTGCTGCATCGCATACATCATCGGAGTCGCTGACAATACCTCGTTTCTATATGCAGCCGAACACCAAGGAGTTGCAATTGCATGGATTATGTGAAGCTTCCATACGTACATACGGATGCTGCATCTACGCACGTACAGTACCAACTTGTAAGGTATCGCTACCAAAATTGGAACTCGCTGCTTCCGACCTGCTGGCCCAACTCTTCATGAAAATCAAGGGGATTTTCACATTGACACAGCAATCCTGTCTGTGGAGCGATTCGTCGAAAGTAATTATCGATGGCTGAGCTCTATCGAGTCGGGCTAGTATCAATGCACAGTGGTTGCGCCCATAGGCCAAAAGTCAAAGAATCCATCGCAACCAATTTTGACAAAACCCACACAAATTGTCTCGTAAATGTCCAAACTATTTAATGGCAAACCGTTTTTTTGCGGGAATCTAACGGGATTTCTAAAATTAGCATTGAAAGCTTCAACACTTGTTAAATGTTGCAATTTTTCGCAGCGAAGAGAATTTTTTATTACACCAAAAGCAAACTTTAAAGTGGTAAAACGTTTGATTGAGTGGTCCAAATTTAATTATTTAAAATGGTATTTAGAGTTGAAGGTATTTATTATTCATTTATAGCTTAAAAATTATATTAACAAATGAATTCTATTTGAGAATTTGTTTTGAACAACCTAATCACTTTTGTGTGTTTTGTAAACGTATTTTTCATGTTTAGTTAAAGTTTTAGTTGTGATCCCACAAAATTCCACAAATGAAATTTATGTCATCGTGTTTGCCTATAATATTTCTAAGAAATATGTTAAAATTAGCTGCCCAAATTTGCCCATGGATGTATAGTAGTAAATATACTAAGGGGACTTTTGGTTAGCAAGGGTAAGTTTTACCCAAAAAAAAATTATATCTCTTGAAGAATATTAACTAGAGGCTTCAAATTTGGATAATTAAGTTACTAGTGACTTCTTCTATCGATGAGCTAAAAAAATGGATGCGCCTCTTTAGGGGCGTGGCATATGAAAAAATACCCTGTAATTTTGTCATTTTTTGAGCGTAAGCATCCAAATTTTGCAGCTAGATTACCTTTAGCTTGTTCTATGAGCTGGCCAAAAATGAAGTATCTACGCCCAGTAGGGGCGTGGCAAATGGAGAAAAACTGAATTTTCTACAGTATTAGAGCAAAACTTAGCTACTAAATTGTAGTCTGAAGTGCAAGTGCAACAAAACTCTATTTCAAATTTGCTTTTAAGTCCCTCAATACCACAGCAGAGGGCGTTATCGAGTAGATAAAAATCAAAATTAACAAAATATGTAATTGACTTATTAGAAGATTAATGCTATATATTTAGTCGTATTTGATTTATATTTAAAAATATGTTATTTACCCATTTTTGTTTAAATAATATTATAAAGGCTGGTTAACCACGCCCACTTTGTTCAAAATTTACAATTTTGATTTATTAAAATAAAACAACATTATTTTCCAATCCATACTTTAACTAGAGCTATTTTTGCCCATGGCCTTGAGTTAGAGTGGGGGGTGTAACTTTGGGAGGGGGTTGAATATCAGCGGTTTTTTTTGCTTATTGTAATTATTATATGTTTACTGAATTTCGAAAAAAGTTTTAGATTTTTATCTCCACTAGAAGTATTTTTGGCCGCTCTCCCCATACAAGCGCAACCACTGTGCAATGGCGCCGAACTAACGATAGTGGTCAATACTGAAATAATTACGCGGTTTGCTAAGCTAATTTTCATATTTCAAGGGCAAAAAATAACATCAATAAACATGGATCGTATTCTTCTTCAGAAAAGTAAGGTAAACATAGCGCAATTTCAATGCAGATTAATAAAAATTCATCTTTGTACTTCAAAAAAGGTAAACTTTAAAAATCGATAGCTCCTTCCGTTATTTTTATCGATAAAAGCCGTATTAAAAATCTGTTATATAATTATATCTCCTACAACTTTAAAGTTAAAGTTTATACAATTTCGGTTTTTGTTGAAATTTACCCACCACTCCTATATCCACCCCTCACTATCACCTTTGTAAAATGCGTATTTCAAATGGATACAAAGATTTTGTAATTTACAGTTTGTATTTCACGTAGTAAAGACTTGTGCAAAATCATTATACCCTGATTTCTCATTTTCAATGGGTTCAGGGTATAATAAACATCAATTGCGTGCTTTGGATTCGAGCCCGACACTTCTCGATCGGGCGTCACGCCGCTCACTTTTCCGAGCTGAGATGGCAAAACTGAAATAGATACACTGATGCAGCGCCATCTAGCAAAAGTAAACCAAACTAACTGCTGATGTAATTCTAGAAGAAGTTTGAATGTATGTGTGCACACGTATGTATATGAAAACTGTTGTAGCTGCTGCAAGTGTGTTTGTTAATTGGCCAGACATTTTATTATTTTTAAACGTCGATTGACTTAACGGAATTTAATTAAACTTTCAGCATATGATCTACATATTCTATTGAATATCTGACAAATTAAAAAAAAAAGAAATGAAAAATCATTCACAATTATCTTTACTATACTATCGACTTAAGAATATACATATGTATATACTTTGTGGGTTCTGCCACGTCTCCTTCAGCCTGTTACATACATTTCAACAAAACCATGTACATGTACATATGTACATACATACATATTAGAATTATAACATGTAGGCGAATAACCAAAATATACATACAAATGTACATAGGTAAATCGATACCAGTAATAAACTCATTTGCAAACAAGTTGTTTTTTAGTTTAAAATCTGATATTAACAAATTGTTGAAACAGAATATTTAGTTGGTGGGCTTTTGTTCTTCGTTCTATATTTTTTTTTCGATAGTTACAAACAATTCTAAAATTACGTCAATTATTATCTTATTTCATTCTAAAGGACTATTTTAATATTTTGGCAGAAAGCTATAAGTACATACATACATACATACGAACATATGTAAATACCCAGTGGCGACGACCTGAATGAGGTCTGTTGAAATAATGCATTACATACGACAAAAAAGTAATGCATTTTACCTATGAACATTTTTTTCAGCGCATTTGTAATGTACAAAATAAAAAGTGCTACTCATACGACAGAATCGAGCTCTTGTCAACTTCGTTTCTGTATGCCCCTTCCCCGCTAACCAACAAACGATTTTCGTCTTTCGTTGCGTCGCGACGAAATCGCCGAATTTCGTTTTGGACTTTACCGTTTTTTGCATGGAATGCGTGCCTTCTTTCGTTTGGTTTTTTTGTCTATGCCTATTCCTTTTGTGTGTATAGTGTTAATGAGTGTAAATACAAGTTCAAAAATGCATATGTGTGATGATTTCTGTTTTCGTTTTACCCGCCGCGGCGCGTCACTTTTCTGCTATTGTTGAGCCGTGCGGACGTAAATTTAAAGGGAAGTATCTGCAATGTATACATCATCTTACATGTACTTTTAATGACAAAAAAAAATAATATTGTTTAATTTACAGATGCTATAAAAACCGAAGGGTCCACTAAGAAGACCTATATAAGTACAATAAGAAACTGCTTTCGGGTCCAGAAAGGTCGACTGGCAAAGCAGAAGTTCGATAATAAGGACAAACTAGATAATAAGACATAGCTTTAGATTTAGATGTAGATAGATATAATAAAATAGTAATAATACATAGTTTAAGACTATACATTTATTTATAGATATTAAGAAATATTAAATAATAATTTTTAAAAATTAAAACAAAAAATACTGCATTACTCAAGCGTTTCTATCTTTCAATTAGTAATCAATTATTTCTCCAATTACATTGCATTAAGAAGTAAGCCATTTTATATAGTGGGAAAATGGGTTGCAGGTATATTGTGTTGTAATGTACGCACATTACTAACCCATAAGCGATTTTGAAAATGTATAAGGCGTTTTCTTCAGGTTGCGGAATTTCTACATTACAATATTTAAAAAGTATACGCATGGGTAATGGAGAGCCGAAGGAAACTTCGTCACCTCATTACTTTCTGCATTACAAAATTCAATAATTTCATGCACCCGGCAGAAAAAGCGGCCATTCCTTAAAAAAGTAAGGCAGCTTGTAATCGATCTTTTCATGCACACAGGCGACAAGTAATCCATGAGTAATGGACAAAATAATGGGCATTTCCGCCACTGGGTATGTACTTACACAAAACGGCTGTTTTCACAAAAAGAGCAGTGGAGAAATAGAGACAGTGCGTTTCATCAACAGAGAGAGAGAGAGAGTTTTTGTCGATTCAAATATAAAAGAAAGCTTTTATTTCAAAACTTTGCGAGAGGATTTTCTCTGAGCTTTAGGGCGAAAATTGTTTGCCGAAGTCAGAATAACAAGAGATGCAGCTGTGTTCATCGTGTATAGTTCTCTCTACAGTGTTTTATTTGAGAAATGAATTAGTTTGGCAGATGCATTCAATAAAATGTTGCCAATTGGACACTCAGTTCGGATCGGGTTAGCAACAAAACAGCACAGTAAAACGGATAAAAAATTGAGTGATATGTGGTACTGACATTAAACTGCCAACACAAGACTCACAACAATAGACACAATAAAACTCGTTTTTCCTCTCTCTCACTCTCTCTCTCTCTACATGGAATATTATGAAAGAGAATTTATTCAAAAGAAATCATTAAAATACACCTTGGTACCCATATTTTTTAAATAAATACGTGTATATCATTGATATATTAGCTTGGATGTATAATTGAAGCCCTACGAAGTGTAAAGAACAAAATTGTATGAAGTGAATAATCTAAAATTGTTCTTGATTTTTTCATTGCTAAAATTCCGTTTCAATTTAGGTTAGTTTATTTTGTTATAATGTACGTATGCATTAAGTGAATTATGTAAAATATATTTCGGTACAGAGCCCTGGGAGCAAAAAATTAATAATAGAAAAAACACAGTTTACATGTAAATAGATATTTATTAATATAAACCACAATCAATGAGATAATAATAATAATAATAAAAAAAAAAATAATAATAATGAATAATAATATATTAATCATGTTTAGTTAAATTTGAAAAATAAAAAAACCCAAACAAAGATTATTATTATCCAAATTGAAGAATTTAACTCATTTATTAGTTTCTTTATAATTATTATAAATAAAGTTAATATCAATAATAAAAACAATAATCGTTTATTGGACACCACCGTAGACAACGAACAACCCTCTAATACATTTATTTTCATTGCCGTCGCGCTGTTTTTATTTATAGCTGCACTTTATTTTTTATTGTTAATATTAGTGTCAAGGTGCAGTCTGTAGTGCAGAGCCAGGTGAACAACTCATGAACAAACAACGGCTACAAAAATATATACTTAAACATATATTTATAAACCCCAAGTTTTTATTTATTATTTGCCCGCAAAAGTGTAAAAACCGTAATTTAAACGAATCAAAAATTAATAATAAACTTATTATTTAAATAATAGCAAACAAGAAAGCTGTAGGGGTGCCCGGCTAGGATAATCCGTGAATCCTTTCCTTATGTATGTATTTATGTATATATAGAAGAATGTAAATGGTAAATGCGTGCATTTGCTAAAGCGTAAAGCGGGGTATCCACAGTCGAATTCGTTTGCTGAATTTTGAAAATAATCGAGAAATTTTTGGATAATTTTGGCATGTCTTGACTGTCCGACATATTTCTGAAAATTATGTTCATGCGAACACTCGAATCCATTGTCCAACATGTTTGCACGGACATTCGTAAGATTTTTTTTTTGTGCGAACACAAGTGGCGAACAAAAAATTCGTACGAACACTGCTATCCACATTCGAGCATTTGACGAACACAAGTTCGTGTATTCGTGTGTTCGTTTTTTGCATATATATATATTTATACCCTGAACCTATTGAAAATGGGAAATCAGGGTATAATGGTTTTGTTAAAAGTATGTAACAGGCAGAACGAGGCGTGGCAGACCCCATAAAGTATATATATTCTTGATCAGGGCGACGAGCTGAGTTGATTTGGACCTGTCCGTCTGTCTGTCCGTCCGTCCGTCCGTATGTATGAACGCGTCGATCTCAGAAGATATAAGAGCTAGAGACTTGAAATTGTTTTTCCTAGGTCCGTGTATATCACGAGCATATCAAGTTTTTCATTATATATCGATAACTACTCCCGATATTTTATTATCGATTAAAAACCTTATCGAAGGCTAGTTATTTAATTATATCTCCTACACCTTTGAAGCTTGAGCTTCCAAATTTTAAATGTAGACTTATATGTATTTTATATAATTTCGATTTTTGTTGTAATTCACCCCCCACCCCTATATCCACCCCCTCACCTTCACCTTTGTAAATGGCGTATTTCAAGTACTAGAAACGTGTACTTTGGAATGTACATACATTTTTACCATATGATTACGCTCTGAAAGTTTCATTAAGATTGTACGTCTAGAAATTAAATTATTCAACAAATAAATTCTTATAATGTTGTCCACACTACAGCGCAGCCCAAGCGCAGTCGCTGCTGGGTATCTCCTAGTCGAGCAGTCTCGACTAGAGCCTTCTTACTTGTTATTAGTTGGTTTCAGGGTAGTATCTAGTTGAGCACTCTCGACTAGAGTTTTCTTACTTGTTTTATTTTTTAGGAGATCTCTCTCTGTAGGAGATATAATTTTATAAGTCATTTGAACATATAGGCAGACGCTCTGCTAGATGCGCAGTAAGCAGCGACTGCGCTAGGGCTGCGCTGCTGTGTGGGCAATATTATGAGAAATTAATTGTTGAATAATTTTTTTTGTAGCAGGGCTATCTTCGTGACTCACTTGAAATACGTTTTTTACGAATTCGGGGCGAATAGGACGTGGTATCCAAAAGCTATAAATACAAAATTCATCAAATGTATATACACTGTAAATTTAAAGCGTCTAAATCAAGAATTAGGCTGAAAAACAAAATAAATTTATCGATTATTCTCGATAAAAAGATATTGAATGCGCTATCGAAAAAACTTTTACACGAGTCTACATTCTCTAATAACTTCTGAGATCTATGCGTTCATACGAACGTCGCCCTGATCAAAACAAATATATATACTTTATAGGGTATGCGATGACTCCTGATGCCTGTTACATACTTTTCACCAAACCATTATACCCTGATTTCCCATTTTCAATAGGTTCAGGGTATAACAAGAGAGAAAGCCCGACTACGAGATCCCCTGAACTCGTCGTCCAACTGAAATTTCAATAATTATTCGCACATGAACAAACGTGTGTGCATACGCACGCATAAACACACATTGGCTTCAGTGGTGGCGTACTGTGGGAACTTAATTGTTTAATAACTTTTCTTATATATTATATTGTATTTGCCTAAGCACAAGTCTCTACCATTTGAAATACACCTTTTACAAATATGTGGTGAATATAGGGGTGGGGAGTAAATTTTAACAAAAATCGAAATTGTATAAAACCACTGAACTAAGAACAAATAGATGAGACATGTAGAATAACTTTTTCAACTCCGAAAAATGTGCATAAGGGCTACCCAAATTCGTATTGGCTCGGCTCAGTCTCTTGAGGCTCGACCAGTGAAAATACAGCACGACCAAGCCAGTTCGTTGCGAGCTTTAACAAAATGGTTCCGTTTTTATATGAAGCATGGCTGTGCGCTTTTTGTCTTTCTCTCTCTCTCTCTCTCTACCTCTCTCTTCTATCTCTTTCTCTATGGTTACTCAAATCATCCAACTCAGCAGCGCACAAAAACTATCCTTTTGAGTGAAGGGTATACCGAAATTTTTAAAGCGTTTGGCACGCTAATTATTTCTTGGTATGAAAGCGTTGGTGCTCATAATGAAAATGTTTTCGTGACGAGCACGCACACTCACACTTGCAGTCTCCGGAAACATATGTGAGCATTTGTGTAAGGTGACCATCTGGGCCGGAGCCCATTCCGGGACTGTCTGCAATTACCAACCCCCCTCCCCCCTTCCTTCCTTCCTAAAATGAAGCATTTGAAATAAATCATTTGTCACACAGATTCACACGTACATTCAACTTGTACTTCTTTCATACATTACGGATGTTTTTCAGAGGGTATTAGACTTATCTGATCAACTCTTATTGTCTTTGTTTTCAAAATAATTAAATTTTCAAGTGAAGTGATTGGTTTCTCTGATTGAGCGTCCGTCAATCGCGCCTCAGTAAAGATAGGATATAAGCGAAACCGGAAATTCAAAAGGAAGACGAAGATAAACATGATCTAGACAATTTGAATATCGAATTAGGGGAAAAATATTAAGATTATTGATGTTATTTTTCTAAATATGTTATAAGTGCAAAAGAAACAAAATTTTATATTTTTTTAAATATAAAACTGAATTGTCATACACTTGTACATTTTTGTATTATATTATGACTTCTTTTAATAATTTTTATCTAAAACAAGTAAGAAAGCTGAAGTCGGGACTGCTCGACTACGAGATCCCCTGAACCCTTCGAGCAATAGATATTTCAATAATTTTCGCGTCTTTCTGCTTACACAAGACACACGCACACACACACCAACTCACGCACGCACACAAGCACCCACGCCTAAACACGCATGGTCTGCAGTGTGTGCTTGCTATGAGAACTTAATTGTTTAATAAAACTTTCAGATTATGATTATAATATTCATGTATTTGCCAATGCACAAGTCTCTAGTATTAGAAATACGCCTTTTACAAATGTGAGGGTAAGGGGATGAATTAGGGGTGGGGGGTAAAACCCGAAATTGTATAAAATTCATTTAAGTATACATTTAAAATTTGGAGACTCTAGCGTTAAAGGTGTAGGAGATTTAAATTTATTACTTGTTTTCGATAATGTTTTTAATCAATAATAAAAAATCGGGACTAGTTATCGATATTTAAAGCAAAACTCGATATGCGCGTGCTATACACGGACCTAGGAAAAACAAGTAAGAACGTTGCAGTCGGGCGTTACCGACTGCGGAATACTCATTCACTTCCCATCAACAATTTAATAGTTAAGTTTCGCTCTAATACTGTAGAATATACAGGTTTTTTTTCAATTTGCCACGCCCCTACTGGGCGTAGACACCTCATTTTTGGTCAGTCCTTAGAACGTGATAACGGTACCCTAACTACAAACTTTGAATGCTTACCCTCAAAATATGTGAAAATTGCAGGGTATTTTTCGATATGCCACGCCCCTAAAGAGGTGTAAAAATTATTTTTGGGGCCATCGATAGACGAGGTTACTGGTAACTTAACTAACTATTTAAATTTTTATACTTTAGGAGATATCAACTTTTGCGGTTTGCCATGCCCCCTGTAGGCGGACATACACTGCGCGTCATCAGGCTAGCGCCCCCCTTAACACTCAACCTCAAAGCTAAATAAAATCTAAACCATCAGAGATCCATCTTTGAATTTTTTTATATTATACTCCATTTATTTCTCTTTAAAATACAAAAAGAATGGCTACTGTAACAATAAGGATTATTTTTAAATATTTTTTTTTTTTTAAATGTACAAAAAACATGTAACAAAAATTTGGTCATCAGATTAGCGCTCCTGCGCTAAATTCAATTTATTTAAGTTAATGACCAAAAATAACACCTGTATTTTAAGCTATTATTATTTTTAAGTAATATTAGTAGTGCGTATATGCCGTTTTTGTTTGAAATTATTTCAAAAATTCGATTAGGAATGGAATTATAAAGTTGTTCAATATTATTCAAGGATATGGTTGACCAAGCGTGTTCAGTACCTTCGATTAACTCTGTCTTTGTACTATAATGCTTTCCGAACTCATATACTTTCCTGACCA